TAATGCCTTATTTGCACAGCAAAACATTCAAAGCCAATATGAGTTAGGCTTCGAACATCTTTTGTATGCTGTGGGACTTAAACGAGGGCACATCTTATGGAACCACTTATTGCATTCATCACACTGCATTCCCTCTTCCACAAGGAGCACACAGTTTGTTTGTCCACATTTGTGAGTACTACCAACCATTTTAGTGAGATCAAGGTTTCAAACAAAATATGAACACAAGTGTCAGTCAATGAGTAAAAGGGTACCACAAGACAAACTTTAGCAAGATTTCAAAGCTTAACTAAAGTACTTTTAATATAAAATAGACCAAGAATGCTTTTGATACAACAATTACACAAAAGCAATGATAATCACATCAAGTACAAAATCACTGCCTTTTTTGAAACGCGCTCGTGTATTATTGTTGTCTATGGACGACAATTCTACTGTATGCTATTTAAAATTAGTCCCTTGATATTACTGATCATTCAGATAGAATTTTTATTCTGAATTGCGACTTTTAATTCCTATAAATTGCTTATTGTATGTCAGGCAAATCTAATTTAATGGGTCATTGAGTGACTTGGTTTCTTAGCCCTCTATCTTCTAGTACTAATTGATAACATAAAAGCCTCCTATATATGCAATATCTATTAAACATTGATTTTTAGGATTTATTAGAAGCATTCAACAATATAGTTGAAGATATGGTTTGTATTCCGTGCATTGTAATACCAGTCATATTATGGATACTACATCGGCTTTTATATCCTGTCATGTACTACTTTTTTCCAAAATTAAAGCCCATTCCAGAGCCGACAGTTGATGAATTGGTAAGAACTATTTTCATCATATATTTTGCATCATAATTATAAAAATTGGACCCTATGTATATACCAGAATACTGAGATAACTTCACAAGTACTTCAGTGTATTTTGAAATTAGAAACTTGGTGAGACTGTAATTTATGAACTGTCTGTGTTGGACGCTAGTGATCTTGATAAAAACTCACCCATTTACTAGGTTCCAAAACAGGGTTATAATTGTGAGGAATCGGTAGGTGAGACTGTAATTTGTGGAGGACTTTTGAGCGACACTGAAATGACCTTGAGTGGGAACACCTACTGATTATGACTAAATGAGGATTATAATGCAGTTGGAATTCTCATTTACAGTTGATGGTTAGGGTTAAAAATTAGATTTATTGTTTCCATCACGAACTGATATCAGCTATAATGCCAAAACTCTATTTATCCAAATGTGTGGATGAATTTCCCGCCAAAATTCGTGAGTCGTTAACTTAAATCTATTTGGTTCGTCTATAAATTATAGTCTCGTCAAAGATTCTTCCTACTCACTTCTATTCTGTTCTCACTCTCATTTGTGTCCAGAAAAAAATCACTGTTTAAACACAAATGTGTTCTCATGTTAGGTTATGATCCATGTTGAGTTTCTTCAAGAATTCCACACTTATCCAAATTTCATCTTGACTAAGTGATTTTTCTCAAAGAATCGTTTTACCATGAGCTTCCGAACCAGTTAAAAATCAGTGAAAATGAGAGAGAATTGACCAGCTGTTTCGTCCTAGTATGGAACCTGACCAAAAACGCACATCTACGATTCGACCCCTTAGCGTTTAAGTCTTGGTATTATAACGGGACTATTAGAACATTGTGTCGGAAGCAAACAATCAGCGTCCCTAGCTTGAATCAGTAAGCGATACAGTCTGAAGGCTTTCAGCAATGTTTTAAACAATTATGACGGGGATAGATCAAGCTAGTTCACGAAAATCAGATTTATTTTTTAAAAGAGAACAAGATTGCTTTCGCCTAGCAATGTTCTTATGTTTTCAGCTCGCATATTCATTAGAAAAATTGAATTGTTAAAATTGTTTATGTTACTGTTGTTTTCATTCACAACTCTCCTCTTCTTATATCTCTACCTATCACACTAAAGGAACAATTGGATGATATTACAAAAGACAATGTAACCGATACTTGTCAGGTTAGTGCATTATTTCAATTGCAAATCCGTTTTCTTTTCTTCTTATTTTAGCCATCATCACCTTCAAAGTCTAAATCCGACTGATTTCTTTCTTGTTGCATTCTGTAAATTGACTTTTGATCTTACTTGAATAATTTAAAGTTCTTGTTTATATATAAAAAGGCTGGTTGTTTTATGTTTGTACAATAGACTGTTTTAGGGGGATTATTGTGTTTGTCAAGTACCATAGTTGTTTCTTTCAAAAAAAGCGAATTTTAAACAAAGCGTTCTTCAACCAGTCAGTCAGTCAGCTACAACTTAGGACCCAGGCACATATATGCATCGGTCCAAGTTGCCATACCTCATTAACACAACAAGATGATCACCGGATTCATAGGAGTGGTTAAGTCAATGGTGGTAATATATAAAAGAAAGATTGCATATAAGGATATAATACAGGAAGAAAGATTTAGTTGGTAGAAAGAAAGTTATAAAGTAATTTTAATCTCTTAGTTTAAGGGGAGATAGAGAGTGTATACACCGACGCCATTGTGATCGATTCTGAGCCATGTCACCAAGAGTCTCCAACCATTGTGTAGACCGCAACCAAGTAGTTTGCATCTCCCAACATGGCTCAGACTAGAAGTTAGTGACTTCAAGCACTGATGCCACGTTTTGGTTTGACCGCCCCTAACATTCTTCAACCAAACTTGAAGCAGCTCAATAAAAGGCTGCCACTAATTCTGGAACACACGTTTAGACTCAGATCATCTCTCTAGTGTGGGCATGTATTTGTCAGCGTCTTATCGAATGTAAAAAAACCCACAACAATAGAACCTTTTGAAGTTCAGCCTAATGATGAATTCATGATGATATTTGAGAAACAGCTAGAGAAGTTAGCCAACCATTAAAGTAATATCCGCCTCAAGGTAGCTTGGTATGATATCCGAGCAGCTGTAAAAACAGGAATGATATTTACCATTGAATTAAAGCAAAAATGTTATGGATAGACTCTATGTTTAAGACATTAATAACATTAGTATCTTTTGCATAAGTTTCTAGAAATTCAGGGCCATTGTTAGCTCTATAAATATCCTTTCATTTTTTTTCATCGAAATAATTCCAAGCGTAAAACGTCTTTCGTCATTTCCACCTTTCTGCTACTTTCGAGGTTAAAGTGTCGAAGATGCTGGGGATCTATAAGTTATTTCAGAAGTTTGCACCTCAAATTTTCAACATACATTCATGTCTTATCAGTTGTTTTTACTCGTTCAACAATTTTCGCAACCCGATCTTTCTTAGGCATATATAACCAAGTTTGCGATACTTTTCAATACATTGGCAAAGCTACTTGGTAGTGTTTTATCCAAACTTATTGATCAATGATCACTTTTTCTTCATGTAATCAGTTTCCCTAATCCCTCAGTTCGGTTTCTATAAGACTTTATAAGTTGTGTAAGTCTATAGTAAAACTACTACATCGTAAAACTAGTTGGGGATCGTGGAGATGATTTGTTTTCATGAGTTGTGCTAAATTCAAAAAGTATTGCTAATCCTCATCTACTGAATAAGTGATTATGTTGAGATTTCCTATTTGGAATGATTAAAGCTCAGAAACTTGGTACTGGTCTATTATGGAATCGTAGAATGTAAACAACTGTTTAAATGCCAAATACATGCTAAGTTTTTATTCTTTCATGTGTTAAGAGTGAATCAGCAAGTATATCATTACCATAAGTGATAAACTATTATGATGAATAGTACATATATATATATATATATATATATATATTTGTGATATCCCAATGAGTAGAGAAATTGTATTTGTGACGTTTCGTTACTTAATGTAAACCACTTCTTACTATGAGGAAGTATGCAAATGAGAATTGGTTCGGATGTTTGATTCATTGATTATTAAGTCAACTTAATAAACATCTATACACATAAAATTTCATTACATTTAGCAAAAGACACTTGTATTCACATTAGTTGATAAGTAGCTTGGAATTTCAGGGCTATTTTAATGTCATCCAATTGTATTGTAGTGCAAACGAACAGAAATAATATTCATAGGTATAAGTTCGTCTTTAGAATTCAACTAGGATCATTTTTATTAACAACTACTTCAAAGAAGTAAGTATTTGAACCTGTTGCAAGAATTCTAATTATTAGACGGCCTTTTTGTACTAAGTAAACCTTGTAAGTGATACTATGGTGTGTGCTACTTATATTGACATAAGTAGTATATAACGCGAGTCAGGAATGTAATGTCTAGCAGCAGAAGATGGGGAAGATCAAGAAAGGAAGAGCGGGAATAGAAAGCAATTAGTATGGAAATGCAAAAACAATGAAGTTCGAGACAATTATTGAACATTTTGCAAATTAAGTATTATAGTGTATGGTCTTTCTATTTTACCAAGTAACTCTGTAATGTTGTGCTAAATATAATTCGGTTGTCCTCACCTGTGTTCTCCTTCACTACAATACGGCTAGAAACTATTGAATTCAAAATAAAAATGTTAAATATTCATACAAGATGAGCGTCTGAGTAAACAATCGAGTTACATATAAGAAAATAACCATGAGAACTAAACAATAGGACGAAACGGCCATCCAGTGCTTCCACGTTTCCAATGGTGGTCTAACATCAATCGGTTCATGATCTCAATCAAAAACTTTAACAATCTCCACAACCCCTAAACTGATAATACAATTTGTCTTGAAGCATGATACTTTTATGAAGTAAAAATTTCACGATTGTAATTTCTTAGTTCAGTTGAAACTAAAGCTTATACTTTAAATCAGAAAACAATATATGATTGTGTCGAATGAAAATATCAGCGATAAACAAAGTTAGATTAATCTCTTTTTCAACAGTTGAGATCATGAGTCAATTGAAGCTAGACCATCGTGGAACACCTAGAAGCACTGAACCGCCGTTCCGTCCTATTGTGGGACTCCTCAGCAGCTCATATTGTTGACGTAGGCATGACAAACTACTGGTTATAAATAAGTAGTGTAAATTTACGCTGACTTTTGAATTGGGCAAACATTACCAAGTGAATTTAAACTTCACTCAATTTCACAAGCAAGTGGCTATTAGGACTCAGTAGCTAAGTCGATAACGCGATGGCGTTTGAAGCGAACGATACTGGGTTCAAGTCCCAGAGTGAACATCAAATCTGAGGTGCAAGTACATCCACCTGACGAGTCCTAAATGGAACGAGACGCGCGTCCTGGATTCCACTACTAACCGCTATCCATCTTTGCTTATCATGCTTCTGGACTAAAGCAATATCGCGACAATCCACAGAGGATACATATATGTTAAAAAGAGACTGATCAATCGTAGTCCTAAACATCAATGGGAAGATTCGAACAAACCAATTTCATAAGTGTATTCATACACTTATATACACTGAAATAATATACGTAGTTATGTGATATGATAAAATATGATTTTATGTGTAAGTAAATAACAACTGACACTTGAAGAGTTTTACAATGTGGAAAGCGAGAAAAACGTTATATATGAAGCTTAAAGACTCTAAAATATACATAGTATTTAAACATGTTAATTGGAATGTCATACTAAAGTGTATGGCTGTTAACTGAGTTTGTATAGATAACAGAACTATGTCATATTGACTCTAAGGTATCAGAATGATTATCTGTTTACCTACATGTTTATCAGGCTTTTGAGGACAAAATGCTGACAATTATTATTCAGGTAGAGCGCACTTAAGGTAACTCAATAAAATGTAAAGGAATTAAAATAATTTTATAAGAAGAAGGTATTGTGGAGATTTTTGTAATTCAATAGTTGGTTGAAGTTAGACACTAACACTGTTGGGTACCGGCTCAGTGATCTATAAGTTAGGCGTTCGCACGCGAGGCTGATAAGTCCTAGGTTCGGATCTCGCGGGGCGGGATCATGAGTGCACACTGCTGAGGAGTCCCTTACTAGAACGAAACGGCCATCCAGTACTTCTGGGTTTTCCATGGTGGTCCATCTTTAATTGACTCATGGATTCAACTATTAGAGTAATTTAATTAATACTACTCAAAAATTGTGTATAATGGGATCGTGAGGATTATGTTAATAAGATTTTGCAAGTAGCGTTAGATACTATTAAATTTCATAAAATTCAGAAGACGAAAAGAACAAGAGTGAAACGATTGAAGTATAACACACAAATATTTTTGGTACATTTAAATTATGGTTTTTGATGAAATCAAGGACTCGGATTTCATCCTGTTTAGGACATGTCCATGGGATCTACCTATCTTAGTGTTAAGAAAGCTAATCGAATGGTTATAGGTAACCTGTATCTTTTAGGCCTATATCATACTAAGTGT